AGGTATATGCTAAAGAGACCTAAGTTGATTTTTCGGGGAGGATCCAATATCAACAAAGTGAAGGAGATCAAGAAAGACTTTATGTGGAAGGCAGTGTTAGAGCTGAGTCTTGAAGGCAATGAAGAAAGCCAAAAGGCAGAAGGGAGGAGGGAGCTGCATCTCAGGCATGTGTAAGGAACAGCAAGAAGGCCAGCGTCATTGGATCAGAGAATTATGAAAGGGCATGATTTGAAATGAGGATGGAAATGTAGGAAAGGAGTCAAGTTGTGAATAATATCTTTAAATAAGTTTAAATGCATATTTTCTGTTTCTTATATCACTATAGTTATCCCCAGGATCCTTCCTCCTTGCCCTGCCAGAGAACCATCCCATATGACAAATAGTATATTTTTTTAGAAAGGGGAAAAATTAGCACAACTGATCAATACATTGAAAAATTCTGAAAACAAAACAAAACAAAACAAAATACACGTATAATGTGTACACCTCCCAGCTCCATGAAGGGGTGGGTGGGGGTGTCTTCTTACATCCCTTCATTTGAGTCAATCTTGATCTCTATAGTTTTGTGACATTCACTTTAGAATTTTTGGTGTGTGGTTGTTCTTTCCATTTCTATTGTTGTAGTTACTGTGTATATTGTTTTCTTGGCTCTGTTTACTTCACTCTGCATCAGTTCATGTAGATTTTTCCATGAGTTTCTGTATTCATCACACACATAATTTCCTACAGCACAGGAATATTCCATTACATTCATATGGCTGTGAAGAATTTTAAATGCCAAACAGGGAAGTTTATGTTTGCTTTTAGAGAGAATCACTGGAATTTCTTGAGTAGAGGGATGACAGAGTCAGATCTCTGTTTCAGGAAAATCATCTTCACAGCTTGGTGGAAAACAGGCTAGAGCAGGGGAATATGTGAGCAGGGAGACAAATTAGGAGGCCATTTCAATAATCCATGTGAGATGTGATCAGTTTCCTACTCTGTCAAATAAAGAGCTTGTTCTGTTTAGATGGTCCCTTCTAATTCTGACATGTCAGTTCTTTAAAAGAAGGTGTAGTAGTGGATTGAGTCAGGCAGGGCATGGAATGCTTGAGCTCAAATCCTGCCTTGGGCACTTACTGGCTGTATTTCCCTGGGCAAATCAGTTATTATCACTGGGCCTCTGTTTCCTTCTCCCTAAAATGAAAAGTTTGGATTTACCTTCTCTACCAGCTCTAAATCTATGATCCTGTGAGTGGTAAAGAAACATTCCAGTTCAGGCTATCTCCCTCAGTGCTGGGTGTAAAAATCTTATAATGGGAACAAAAAATAACTGGTATTTTTATAGTACAAAGAATTTTCCTTATAATACCCCTTTGAAGTAGGTCATGAAACTGTCATTATATCATTTTTCAGATGAAGAAATCAGAGTTTAGAAAGATAAAGTGACTTGCTTCCAGGTCAATCAATCAATAAACATTTATTAAAAGCCTACTTTGTACTAGGTACTAAGCGTTAAGTGCTAAGCAATGGGATACAAAAAGAGGCAAAAGACAGCCCCTGTCCTCAAGGAGCTTACAATCTAATGGGGGAGACAACATGCAAACAAATATATACAAAGTAAGCTACAAACAGGATAAATAGGAAATAATCAACATAAGGAAGGCACTGGAATTAAGAGGGGTTGGAGAAGGCTTCCTGTAGAAGGTAGGGTTTTAGGTTAGATTTAAAGGACGCCAGGGAGATCAGTAGTCTGAGCAGAGGACAGAGAATGCTCAAGGCATGAGGGACAGCCAGAGAAAATTCCCAGAGCCAATATATGGAGAGTCTTCTTTATAGAACAGCCAGGAGGCAAGTGTCACTGGATCAGAGTGTGTGTAGGGGAGCAAGGTGTAAGAAGATTGGAAAGGTAGGAGTGGGCTAGGTTACAAAGGTATTGGAATGCTAAACAGAGCATTTTGCATTTGATCCTGGAGGTGATTGGGAGCCACTACAGTTTATTGAATAGGGGGTGGGGATGGCATGGTTGGGTCTGTATTTTAAGAAAATTACTTTAGTGACTGAACAGAGAATGGATTGGAGTGGGAGAGACTTGAGGCAGACAGACTCACCAGCAGGCTATTGCAGAAGTCCAGTAGTGAGGTGATGAGGGCTTGCTTTAGAGTGGTGGCCATGTCAGAGGAGAGAAGGGGGCATATTAGAAAGACACTGCAAGGATGAAATTGAGAAGCCTTGGCAACAGTTTAGATATAGGGAAGAGAGATAGTGAGGAGTCCAGGATGACTCCCAGGCTGTGATCCTAGGGACTAAGAGGATGGTACTGATCTCTACAGTTAACAGGTCACACTACTAATATATGGTAAACTCAAGTTTTGAACCTGAGTTGCCTGCCTCTCAGCTTTTTGCACTATACCAGACTAACTTTGCTCCTGAAGCTAAGAAAGGTGAATAGGTTTGGGGTTAGGGCAGGGGGACCCTGTCTCCTGTTTAATCACTAAATGGAAGGAAGAGGGGATCTCTCAGAACTGGAGCACATCAGGATAAGGAGGGGTTTTACTCCAGTTCATACAACCTGAAGAAGACGTGAAACTTTTTTGATATAGGGGAAAGAATCCTGGATCTGGAGGCCGCAGCCCTACACTCAAATCCTGTGTGACCTTGGGAAAGTCATTTAATCTCTCTCTACTCCTCAGGTGCCTCTTTTGAGAGGGTTGGACTTAATGACCTCTAAGGTCCTTTCTAGCTTTAAATCTAGGATGGATTTTAGTCCACTGTTTGGTAAATATTTTCTGGCTCTGTGTTTTCTCCATGGGTGTGGTGCTGAAAATCTTCAGTTCCTGAAGTAAAATACACCCAAAAATGGAAAAAAAAATAATAAAAAACACAGGAATAGAAGTCAGGTGATCTGGGATTTAGTCTGTCTTTTGCATTAGATTAGTCTGTGACCTTGGACAAGGCACTTACACTTTCTAGGACTCAGTTTCCTTATTTGTAAAATGAGGGAGCTGGAAGGAGGGATTGTTGAGGCTCTTTTTAACAGCAACATTCAGGAAGTATGTGTTTCTGTTTCTCAGCCAAATCTTGATTCTGTCCAGGTCTACCTTGAGCTTCGGAACTAGATATGAAAACCAAACTCATGGTTGCCTAATTAGGGGGAAAGAGGAGTGAAACCCTTTGTTTTGTTCATTTGCTAGTGACCTGGGCAGGACTAGCATTTATGAGAGCTGTTCATCAACTTATATCAGATCAGTGTCATATTTGCTGCTATTACATGCTTCTCATTCTTTGCTGCGACTGAAGTCACTCTCTGGCTCCAGATGAATTCTCCTGAGAACTGGATCTGGAGTCAGGAAGACCTGAGTTCAAATCCAGCCTCAGTCACTTAGCTATGTGACTCTGGGCAAGCCACTTCACTTCTGTTTGCCTTAGTTTCCTCAACTGTAAAGTGGGGATAATAACAGCATCTACCTAGCAGGGTTGTTCTGAGGATCAAATGAGATATTTGTAATGCACTTGGCACTGTGTGTGACACATAGTAGTCTCTATATAAATGCTTATCTCCTCCCTTCCTCCCTGAGGATTACCAGGGAGTCACCCGGAGCCAGAGTGATGATTTTGTAAATCTCTGGTCTTCCCTTTGGGTCTGTCAAAAGTTTCAACTGAGGGAATCTCAAACCCTTTTTTTCCTTTTAGTGGTTTGCGACAGACTAGCCCATAAGTAATACCCCTGTGCCATTGAAATCAAGCCTAAGGCTTCATCTCATGGATTAATTAACTTCATTCTCTTCTAAGGCTGTAGACTGACTCTATGCCCTGGTCAGTGGTGGGTCTCACAAAAGCTGGAACTAGAGAGATGTATATCAATGACCCAGGGTAACTTATCCCTAATCAAGGATTAAAAGAAAATCCTGCTCCAAATACATGTTTGACTCAAAGTGAGTTGGTGGCTTCCTCTTTTCATCAGCAAGATTTTTATTACTATTTGGCCTCTGGTTAGGCATTTGGCAAATAAAAAGTTTTTTTTTTTCTCATTTCACCCTCTGCTACTTTTCCTTTCAACTCTCTATTCCCAAGACAGACAGAATACTTCATATAATGGTATAAGCTTAAATTCTGATTTCCAAGGAAAATTGTACAGAGGGATCCCACCTCTGGGAGGGTCCCTATTCCTGGGAATCTTAAACCTTTTTGGGTCCTAGGTGGGAGATGATGCATTAATTCTAATATGTTGCAGCCTTATTCAGAGCCATAGTAGGCCTGATGGAAACACCTGCTCCCCATTTTGTGAGAGGCACTGGTGAGTGGGGCACAAATTATGTTTCCATTTGGGCTAAAGAAGAACATTCCCTTCTGCCTTGAATGAACCAGGTGAGAATTAGTAGGAGGGCAGGATAGCCTTTCTAGAGCCAGACAGGCTGGTCTTGAGAGTGCCAGAACAATGAGCATCTATGGTGTTCAGGGGTTCAGGCCACAGCCACTCTCTGCTCTCTTAGGTCTTTCTCCTGATTCCATTATCTTCTGGGAGTATATGACAGTGTGGATTAAAAGGTCTCTAGAAATACAAGAAGCAGGTTATATTTGCTATGGTGGGCTCACTATCCTTACCACCTCTCCCCCCCAACAAATTGGCACACATGGCCATCTTTAGGGATGATATTCTATGTACACAGATGGTCTAATGGATCATATATTTAAAGCTGGAGGGCTCTCTAGTCCAATTCCCTCATCTTCCAGATGGGGAATTGAGATTCAAAAAAGTGACTTGTACAAGGTCACACAGATAGTAAATGGCAGAGCTAGAATTTGAACCCAGGTCCTCTGATTCCAAATTCAGAGTTCTTTCTACAGTACCACATTGTCTCTCCTTGGCAGAGGTTTTGTCTTAATTATTATCAAATTTTGAATTATTTTGGTGTGACTAGGAAAAAGTGCTCGTACTCAGATGGGAAAGGATAAATGTTCAGGGTACAAATGAGTGGAAATCTCATGTAATAAATTCTCTCCCTTTGTATGTCCTACAGGGGCTTTCCTGATCCCATATACCCTGTTTCTCATTATCGCTGGGATGCCTTTGTTCTACATGGAATTGGCTTTGGGCCAGTACAACCGAGAAGGGGCTGCTACTGTATGGAAAATCTGCCCATTTTTCAAAGGTAAGAGGAGAGGGGTGTTGGTCTTTGAGAAAGAAAGAAAAAGGGCAGTCAAAGGCACTTTCTCAGGGAGCAATGAAAACAAGGTAATGGGGAGACAAGGGTAAGCAGGGGAATGGAAGAACCTGGGCCTGGGGTGTGGCTGTTGGTGATATCTGCCTCCAGGGCTGGTATAACACAGTTATAGAGTTTGACTTAGGTGTATCAGTATATCAATAGGGAACTGATGAGGGTCAAGCATAGCAGGCATTCAAAGCTACTTGAAGCTAGTGACTTGACTTGATGTGATGAAATCTGGAAGAAATACTTGGCTTCTTTCTATCATTTGTAGCAGTTGGTGCATCTCCACACTTGGTGCATCTCCACACTTGGTGCATCTCCACACTTGGTGCATCTCCAAAGGAAAAAGCATCAGTATCTGCTTTTTCTTGTCTGTACTAATAATCCTAGGAAGATAGTACCTGGATTAGCAAACTACATTTTTCTGATCATTGGTACTAAGCAGAAAGACAAATTCAACAAATTCAAATTTAAGAATCCTGTAAGGGTCTACAATGTTCAAAATGTTATATTAAGGGCTAAGGAATACAAAGTTTCAATAGGACCCTATCCCTGCCCTTGGGGTGGTTAGGTGGTACAATGGATAAAGTGATGGGCCTGGAGTCAGGAAGACCTGAATTCAAATCCTGCTTCAGACACTTACTAGCTGTATGACCCTGGGCAAGTTGTTTAACCCTGTTTGCCTCAGTTTGCTCACCTATAAAATGAGCTGGAGAAGGAAATAGCTAACCATTCCAGTATCTTTTTCAAGAAAACTCCAAATGGGATTGTGAAGAATGGGATATAACTGAAAATGACTGAATAACAACAACAACATCCCAGCTCTCATGGATATTATGATTTAGTAGTAGATATGAAATACAAAGAGAAAACTAGAATACATAATAATTATAATAGAAAAGAATATATTCACCATGTGGAAAACAAAATGTTATATGAGGTCCAAGGGGGAAAAGGTCACTAATGATTAGAAAAAATCAGGGAAGACCAAACAGAAGAGATGGCATTTATATAATCACAAAATATTAGAAGTCCTTAGAAATCATCTAGTTGTTAAAGAAACTGAGACCTATAGAAAAGAAAGGATTCTACCAAGGTCACACAGTCAGTAAGCAGTAGCCAAGAGTCAAACCCATGTCTTCTATGCCAAGCCCATGTGCTCTTTTCCTCATGCCCCAGTTCTTCCCCTAATGTGGGTGACATTTCAGTAAGCAAAGGAGGGATATAAAGACATTCTAGAGAGAAAACAAGGATATACAAAGTCATAGAGAAAGAAAGGAACAAGCAAGTTTGGGGTACAGCAAAGTGTTTCACTTTGTTTGGAATTGTAGAGTATGTGGTAGAGAACCATATGAGTTGGAGCTAGAACAATCTTGGTGTCAAATTTCTGGGCAAAGAAGTTTGAACTTTACCCAGTAGACAAGAAAGATCTTTGAATGTTTTGAACAGAGGAATGAAAGGATTATATCTATGCATAAACAAGATTAATTTAGGAGTGGTATGAAGGATGATGAAGGGTAGCATGGTGTAGTGGAGAGATAACTGCCCTTGAAGCAAGGAAAAGCTGAGTTTAAAACCTGCCTCTGACAAAAAATGGCTGCATGACTTTGGAGAAGTCACTTAACCTCTTTAGTGCCCTTGGCATCTCTAAGATCACATCCTGCAGAAAAAGTGTTGACTCATTGGTAGAGAGAGCTTCCTTGCTTGGAAATTCTCTACACTAGTGATGTCAAACTGAGAAACATGGGATCCATGCAGTCTTATTGACTTAGAAAATCACAAATTAATATCATCTGTGTTGTGTTGTATTCTTATTTATTTTTCAGACATTTTCCAGTTACATTTTAATTTGGTTAGGGCTGTATGGAGGGCTAGCAATCTCACACCTCAGTCCTATATAAACAAAATCACAGAACTGGTGCCTATCCCAGTGTCTACATGAAGAATGAATTAAGGAGGGGATTGATAGTGAGAATGGAAAAAAACTTTTAAGGAGGCTATTGAAATTCTATTCCTGTACATAATACAAAACCTTTGTATTAGGGTTGTGGCAATGGGGAGAATACTGACAGAAGAGATACTGTGGAGGTGGAATTGACAGGCCTTGATAATTAATTGCCTATGGGAGGACAAGGAAGGAAGGAAAGAAGACAGCCTGGATTGTTGATCAGAAGAGTACATCGCGCCAGGCAAGGAGAGGAGCGCAGTTTGGTGTGAGCGCGCAGGCAGTGCAGGCCTCAGAGAACTTGAAGCAGACCTCAGCAGACTGAATCACAGGCAGCTGTAGCAATTTCCAGACTTTTCAACCCATGAATGCCAAAGACAACTTAGAAGGTCAGTAGGAAAAGTCTGTTTCTGTGGTGGTGAGAGAGAAGCATGGTGGGGTTCCAGCCCCAGTCCCTGAGTGTGGCCCGGGGGCAGTGGCTGCCTCCAGAGCTTCTGGCCCACAGACTGAGGGGATTTGAGTGGCCAATCAGAGGGCGATTGCAGGGATCTCTCTGCTGGTGCAGGATTCTCTTGCTTTGCCCATGCTTGGATCTGGGTCACAGTTCTAAGTGGCAGTCCTGGGGCGAGGAGAAGAGCTGGCGTGGTGGAGCTTGTAGTGGTGGTGGAGAACAAATCCTCCTCACAGGTCCAAGGCAGAAAAGAGTGCTTGTGGTTACTCATAGACCAGAGCACAGGCCAGGAAAGGAGTAAACACCTGACCATTGATCATAGTACCTTGAAAGAAGTGAAAATTTTCAGGTCCCTAGAAGTATCTCTGAACACAGCTGCACAAAACCCCCAAGCTTGGGACAGTACATTCTCCACACTGGAAGCAGACTCCTACCTTAACAAAGAGTTTATAACTCAAGTAATTGGCTGGGATCATGAGCAAGTAGCACAAAAAGAATCAGACCATAGAATCTTTCTTTGGTAACAAAGAAGATCAAAACATACAACCAGAAGAAGACAACACAGTCAAAGCTCCTACATCCAAAGCCTCCAAGAAAAATATGAATTGGTCCCAGGCCATGGAAGAGCTCAAACAGGAGTTTGAGAAGCAAGTAAGAGAAGTAGAGGAAAAACTGAGAATGATACAAGAAAATCATGAAAAGCAAGTCAACAGGTTGCTAAAGGAGACCTAAAAATATACTGAAGAAAATAACATCTTAAAAAATAGCCTAAGCCAAATGGCAAAAGAGGTCCAAAAAACCAATGAGGAGAAGAATGCCCTAAAAAACAAAATTGGCCAAATGGAAAAGGAAGTCCAAAAGCTTACTGAAGAAAATACTTCCTTAAAAATTAGAATGGAGCAATTGGAAGCAAGTGACTTTATGAGAAATCAAGACACTGTAAAACAAATTCAAAAGAATGAAAAAAAAAATAGAAAACAATGTGAAATATCTCATTGGAAAAACAACTGACCTGGAAAATAGGTCCAGGAGGGATAATTTAAATATTATTGGACTATCTGAAAGCCATGATCAAAAAAAGAGCTTAGACATCATCTTTCAAGAAATTATTAAGGAAAACTGTCCTGATATTTTAGAACCAGAGGGCAAAATAGAAATTGAAAGAATACACTGATCACGTCCTGGAAGAAATCCCAAAGGAAAACTCCTAGGAATATTGTAGTCAAATTCTAGAGTTCCCAGGTCAAAGAGAACATATTTTAAGCAGCCAGGAAGAAACAATTCAAGTATTGTGGAAACACAATATGGATAACACAAGATTTAGCAGCTTCTACATTAAGGGATCACAGGGCTTGGAATATAATATTCTGGAGGGCAAAGGGGATAGGATTACAACTAAAAAATCACCTACCCAGCAAAACTGAGCATAATCCTTCTTGGGAAAAAATTGACACTCAGTGAAATAAAAGACTTTCAAGTATTCTTGATGAAAAGACCAGAGCTGAATAGAAAATTTGACTTTCAGATACAAGACTCAAGAGAAACATGAAGAGGTAAACAGCAAAAAGAAAGCATAAGAGACTTATTAAGGCTGAACTGTTTACATTCCTGCATGGAAAGATGATATTTGTAACTCATGAGTCCTTTGTCAGTATTAGAGTAGTTGGTGGGGGAAAAAATTATATGTGTGATGTATAGATAGATAGATAGATAGATAGATAGATAGAGGGCACAGGGTGAGTTGAAGATGAAGGGATGATATCTGGAGAGTAAAATTAAAGGGTGAGAGGATTATATGGAGGGAAGGAGAAAGGGAGAGGTATAACAGGGTAAATTATCTCACATAAAACAGACAAGAAAAGGCTTTTACAGTGGAGAGGAAACAGAGGAAGGTGAGAGGGAATGAGTGAACCTTATTCTCATAGGATTTGGCTTAAGGAGAGAATAACATACACACTCAGTTGGGTATGGAAATCTGTCTTACTCCACAGGAAAATGAGGGGGAAGAGGACAAGAGAGCAGGAGGATGATAGAGGGGAGGGCAGATTGGGGAGGGGGTAATAAGAAGCAAGCACTTCTAAGGAGGGACAGGGTTAAAAGAGAGAATAGAATAAATGGGGGTTGGGATAGGATTAAGGGAAATATACTTAGTTTTTCACAACATGACTCCTATGGAACTGTTTTGCATCACTACACATGTATAACCTGTATCAAGTTGCTTGCCTTCTCAATGAGGGTGGGGAGGGGAGGCAGGAAGGGTGAAAATTTGTAACCCAAGTTTTAAAAACACATGTTAAAAAAAATTGTTTTCATATGCAAGTCAAAAATAAGATGTATAGGAAATGGGGTATGGAAATCTGTCCTACCCTACAGGGAAATTGAAGGGGAAGGGGATAAGAGAAGGGGGGGAGAGATAGAGGGGAGGGCAGATTAGGAGAAGGGGTACTTAGAATGCATGCCATCTTGGGGTGGAGGGAGGGACGAGATGGGGAGAAAATTTGGAACTCAAAATCTTGTGGAAGTGAATGTTGAAAACTAAAAATAAATAAATTTAAATTATGCTAAATAAAATAAAATAAAATGACTTGCAAAAAAACACAAGGGAAATTCAGCATTAAAGCTGGCATGATGGTGCTCGCCTTTGCCTCCACTCTCTCCCCCACTAGTTCTTTTTAATTAATCAACAAATATTTTTGAGTAGGTGGTAGACTGGGAAGAGAACTAGATTTTGAGTCACGGGACCTGTGTTTGAATCTAAACTCTACCATTTACTACCTTTGTGATGTCTGACAAGTAACTTCAATTCTCTGGATCTTAGTTTGTTCACTGGTAAAATAAGGGAGCTGGAATAAATGACTAAGGGTTCTTTTTGCCCTAACATTTCATGAATCTGCAAATGGTGATTAGTTCCAGCCTAATGGGAACGTGCAATGTGAATTCAAAAATGTGACCATTTCGTGGGATTTGGTATTTACATTAATTGAGACCTAGATATAAATGACTATACAAGGTATATTTGTTGTTGTTCAGTCATTAATTCATGTCTGATTCTTCATGATCCTCTATCAGGTTTTCTTGGCAAAGATACTAGAGTGAGTTGCCATTTCCTTCTCAAGTAGATTAAGGCAAATAGGCACAGCTAATGAGTGTTTGAGGCCAGATTGGAACTCAGGTCTTCCTGACTTAAGGTCTAGTACTCTATCCACTGAGCCATCTAGTTGAATATATATATATATATATATATATATATATATATATGTACATACACACATATATGTATAATAGATTGAATGTAACTATACAGAGAAATGCACTAGCCTTGGAGGGACTACTGAGGTGTGGAAAGGGTTATAGAGAATTCAGTTAAATTTGACAAGTATTTATTAAAAGTTTACTCTGTACAAGACACTGTGAAGTATAAATTCATGAAGTTTGTAGCCTAGTTGAGACAACATGGTTCAGAGACACAATTTTGAGGAAACTAAACAGAATGAAAACATTTACAGGGCATCCCAAGTGTCTTAGTATAGTTTTAAGTTATTAAAACCCCAAATTGCACTAAGACTTTAGAGAGACCCTACATATAACTAAGTACTATGTAAAGACTCCAAGGAGCTCAGAGAAGGGAGCTATTAAAAATGGATAGGGTAGTCAGAGAAGATTCTGCAAAGGAGATGGCTCTCGAACTTAGCTTTGGAGTCCCTTCTCTGATCATTTCACAACCTCTTTCCAGGTGTTGGCTATGCTGTTATCCTCATCGCGCTTTATGTGGGCTTCTACTACAACGTCATCATTGCGTGGTCTCTCTACTACCTGTTCTCTTCATTCACCCTTAATCTCCCCTGGACCAACTGTGGCCACCCCTGGAACAGCCCAAACTGCACAGATTCCAAGTTCCTCAATGGGTCTGTGTTAGGCAATGGAACCAAATACTCCAAGTACAAGCACACGCCGGCGGCAGAATTCTATGAGTAAGTCTTGGTCCATTCTCCCTTTTTCCTTTGTGTTCCCCAGGCCTGGAGGTTTAGTGGTGATAGGTCAACCAAGTCCTTTTGTTCCTGCTATAGGCCAACATAAGGATGGCTGAATTGAAATGAAACCGGGTCAAAACTAGGTTTGCTTTAATGTTGTGTATTTTGGATCTCCTCCACATCTGTGAGAAGATGAGACCATTAAAAACAAACAAACAAAAGGGTCCAAGAAAAAAAAAGATATCCTACCTAGCATCATAATTTTATGTATCTGTCTTATTAGAACAGAGATGGGTCAGTATTACATTGGGGTGCAGTGGAAAGAGCATTGGTTTTTGAGTAAAAAAACCTGGATTTATATCTTGGCTTTACTACTTGCCACCTGTGTGACCTCAGGTGAGCCCACTCTCTGGACCTCTCTTTCCTTGTCTGTAAAATGAGGAAGTTAGACTAACTGATCTTTAAGGTAGCATCACATGGAGAAAAGAAGACTAGATTCTGATTCAAGATCTGAATTTGAATCCTACCTTAAGCAATGAAGTCCTATGTGACTATGGACAAGTCTCTTAGACTCTCTAATCCTCAATTTTCTCATTTGTAATATAATGAAACCATAAGACCTACCTCACAAGGTGATTGAGAGTATCAATTATTTGCATGAGATAATTTACATAAGATATTTTGCAATCGGGGAAGCTAGATGGTGCAGTAGATAGAGCACCAGGCCTAGACTCAGGAAGAACTGAGTTCAAATCCAGCCTCAGACATTTAATAGCTGTGTAATGCTGAGCAAGTCACTAATCCTATTTTCCTCAGTTTCCTCATCTGTAAAATGAGCTGGAAAAGGAAATGGCAAACCACTCCAATATCTTTGCAAGAAAATCCCAAATGGAGTTACAAAGAATTGGACATGACTGAACAACAAACAATACTTTGCAAAACTCAAAGCACTAGTTAATGTTACAATCATCACTATTATCATCGTTTAAGGTCCCTTCTAGTGTTAAAGCCAATGATTAGTAATTGGTCTGATTAGCAAGTGGTAGTTTCTTTGACTTAAAAACAAAACTTTAGAATATTTTCATATAGCATAATTTTTCACTTGGCTTTCAATATAATTTTTGTTACATGCTAAATTCTAAATATCTTAAACGGAAACTAATAAGTAAAGTGATTTAAAAGTACCAGTCACAGTAGTTCTGCATTATATAGCAACATATTATAAACTTAAAGATCAGAAAGCACTAGTACCACAAGTTGAAAGTACACTGAAGAAATCAGTAATTTCTTGAATCCAAGTTGTTGTTGTTTTAACTTGTCAGTTTTAGATCTTGGTGTGATGGAAAAGAGCTCAGTTTGGAGTCTGAGAAACTGGTTTTTAATCTCAGCTATATACATCCTACCTTTATGACTCTGAGCACAGGACTTCCCCTCTCTAGGCCTCAGTTTCTCAATCTGTAAAAAGTAGTTTGGCTAGATGACCTTAAAGCTTCTTTCCCATTCTAAATTCATGATTTAATTTCCTTCCATTCTACCATATCAAAATCACATAGTAGAAAAACAGCAGAACTGAGATTTGAACCTAAGTCTTTTGATTTAAGATGTATTTCATTTTCTGTTACACGACCTGATTACCAAACACTTATTGACTCATTTCAAACAGTTTAAGATGGGGCTGGGGAGGCTGGGTCTATTCACACTGATCTCAATGCCCAGTCTTCCATAACACTTCGGTTGATTTTCTTCATGTGTTTAAGCCCCGTCTCTTTGCTAGACTATGAGCTCCCACACAGTGGTTTCCTACTTCTCCATCTTGAGCTCCCTGACATCCTCCAGTGCTCTTATATTCTAAGATGATTTTATCTCTTACAATGAAGACCCTGAGAACCCGCCAAGGAAGAACTTTTCTGGAACTTTTTACTCGACAAGAATGGTTCATGCCATTTCTGAATGGATCCAAATGGCTGAGGTTTTAGAGGTTATGTTGCTATTAATGAAGTTCATATTTGCCTTGTTCCTAAGAGTCCTGGGATCTGGAATCACCAAGAAATCAATCTCTTAGACACAGACTGCTATATAACCTTGCAGGAGAGTCACTGCCTTAGTTAAGACCAAGTGTCCCTGGCCTCCAAGACAGGAGGCATTCTCTTACTGTGGAAACAGCACTAGATTTGAAATCAGAGGACGTGGTTCAAATCTCATCTCTGCTATGTATGATCCTTGACAAGCCATTTAACCCCTCTGTTTTATGGAGGAGTTTCCTCCTCTGTAAAATGAAGGTGTTGGGCTTAAGGATTCCCAAGGCCCCTTTCAGCTCTAATTCTGTGATCCTGTGATCCTGGTCGCTTCTTCCTTTTGGTTTCCGGTATGCCTTACTACTGCTGGGCCATGTGCTCCTCAATCCCTTGCTGGAAAAATCCTGCCTTTGGTCAGTCATTGGTTCCCTCCATTCCTGACCTCTGCAACTAACACCCACAGCTCACACCAACATGGGACTTTTTCCTAGATAATCCAGAAGTAAGAGAAAAGGAAATCTCATCTGTCCCCTTCTCCTAAGCCCCTCTTTCCCTGCTAATAAACAGTATTCTTACTTTGGGAGCATTTGGAACCAAGCTTTCTCTAGAACTTCAGGTGGGTCTTTCTTTTCCTTCTCTTAGAGTTGCTTTCTTCTTAATGCTTACACAGTCTCTCCATTATATCCCATTTGATTACTTCATTGGACCCTCTGAGTAGACATATAAGGGTTGGAATGAGCCTGAGTGCTAGCCATCCCATACTTATCTAACCCCTTTAGACCAATTCATGGAGTTCTTTGGACTCTACTAGCCCTTAGTGCTCCCAGAGCCCTTCTTTGACATACTTTACACCTGAGACTCCATCTTGACATGGAGGGGAGGGACAGCTAGGTGGCACAGTAGATAGAGCACCAGCCCTGAAGTCAGGAGTACCTGAGTTCAAATCTGGCCTCAGACACATAACACTCACTAGCTGTGTGACTCTGGGCAAATCACTTAACCCCAATTGTCTCACTAAAAAAACCAAAACAAAACAAAACAAAAAACACAGATTGAAAGTCATGGAGGGGAGTCTGGGCTCTTGAAGGTTGTTATTAGAACCCAAGCTTTTGTGGGCCCTGCCAAGCTAGAAAGGCTTTAATATGGCCCCTGTGATAGAATCTGTATCTGTCATTCAAGCATTAGGAAGGCTATGGGAAAGGGTACTGCCTTTGGTGTCTGTTCACATCCTGCCTTTCTCTCTTACTACCTATTTGACCTTAGACAAGTCACTCAACCTTTCTAGGCTCTAGTTTCTTCGTATGTAAAAGGAAGGAAGGACAGCTAGGAGGTGCAATGGATAGAATGCTGGACCTGGAGTCAGGAAGACTTATGTTCCTGAGTTCATGTCCAACCTTAGACACTTAGTTAGCTGTATGACCCTAAGTAAGTCACTTTGTTTGCCTTAGTTTCCTCATCTGGAAAATGAGCTGGAGAAGGAAATGTCAAACCACTCCAGTATCCTTGGTAAGAAAACCCCACAAGGGGCCATAAAGAATCAGAAAGAACTAAATAACAACAAAAAATGAAGGAATTGGATTAGATGTCTTTTGAGTTCCCTTCTACCTCTGAATCTGATCCTATGATCAGATTGCTTGACTTCAGAGGCACCAAATATTGTTGATGAGATGATGAATTATTTTTTGGCCATGTCAATTCATAAAATAGTTCCCTAAGGCATATAGAGAGGGGCTTTAATTGGCAATAATGGAGGGGGTTGCTATTTTAACCAGAAATCCTTGCAGTATCAAGGAAGAAATTAAAGATTCGTTCCATGTGAGATCTCTAATTCATATTTTGTTTTGTTGGCCAATGGGATGAGGCCATTCTCTTCCCCATTCATTTTTCTCCTGTGGGCTGTTATCCTGAAACAGGAGTTCTTTGAGGTTTTATAGGGAAGCAGTTCCATCTGTTATTTGAATTAAGTGAACAACCATAGATATTCAGACTTTTGGAGTTAGAAGGAAGAGTTCGATTAACTAGACAAACTTCTGAACATCACAGATTCCTACCTGCCACCCTTCTCACATTCTCACCCCCCCATACACTCACACTGTCTCACATCCCCATTTTTGAATCCTTAGTTTCCTTTAAGATTCAACTTAAATGTTCTTTTCTGCATTAATTAATCCACCAAGAAACATATGCTAAGTAAATAATATGTGCCAGGCACTAAGCTTAGTACTAAGAATATAAAACTAATGAATTAAATAATTCCTATGCTTAATTTTTAAAAAAATAAATCTCCTTAGTTGTCTGTTGGTGCTTTCTTTGTCTTCAAATTACCTTACATTTACTTATCTTATTTACATATTGTGATCTCCAGGCCCAGGAAGGTAAAGTGCCCCAGGACATACCCAAACCCAGGACTAGGATCCAGGACTCCTATTTTCTAGTCCTGTGTTCTTTCCATAACATTATGTATGAATGCATGACTGTAACCAAGTCATTTAAAATCTCTCAGCCTTATTTTCCTCATATATAAAATGAGGAAGTCTGGCTAGAGGACTGCCGCTGTCCCTTCTTGCTTAGAATCTATGAAACTAGCTTGCTTCTCTAATGTGTTCTACCTGGTGTCCTTAGCCTGGTTGGTCAAGGCTAACATTAGGAAGTTATAATGACAATGGGAACTGGATGGAAGGGAGGTCAGGAGGAGAAGAAAGAATAGGATGACATGGGACAAGGAGTATGGGGCAATAGAATGTGTGCTGGACTTGGAATTAAAGGACCTGAAACCTATTTTTCCTGTGTGACCTTGGACAAGTTACTCAATCTTTCTGAGCCTCATTTTCTTCATCTGTAATACAAAGGGTGGGACTAGATGGCCTTTAAAGTTCCTTACAAGTCTATACATATAACCCTATGATCCATTTGTACACACCTATTCCACTGTGCTGGAAACCAGATACACAAAGGCAGAAACTTTGTAGCTTCTTTCTGCATCAC